AACTTTTGGATGTATTTATATTCTGAGCTGTGTATAAATGAATGTATAGCACTGAGATAGTCTATAGGATATATAATATGCCGTTTCCCTCTCTCTCTTCATAAGCATTTATATGCACATGAAGTTTTTTATTTGCTGTGCACCTCTTTTAAAATGTACTCATTATATTAATTTAGTAGTATGCATTTGAAGTGAATCAACAACATATCCATCTGGTATACCCAATTTATATATTTAGCTTCAGGCTTTTTCAATATGTATCTGTTTCCTAGAAGAAGCTACAAAAGAAGAGATGTCTGAGTTTCTCCAAAATATCCTTATTTTAGTTGATCTTGATGAAATGTGATAGCACTATTTTAAATTTTAAAATATATATGCATCAAACAGCCAATCAGGGCATCTGAGGGGAGAGAATAAGAAAGGGTAAACTTCACCTCCACATGATTGATGTCTTTGGAAATATGTCCTCATTAGTTAATTTAGTAGTATGTATTTGAAGTGAATCAACAATATATCTATCTGGTACACCCAATTTATGTATTTAGCTTCAGGTCTTTTCAATATGTATCTTCTTCCTAGAAGAAGTTATTAAAGAAGAGATGTCTGAGTTTCTCCAAAATATCCTTATTTTGGTTGATCTTGATGAAATGTGATAGCACTATTTTAAATTTTAAAACATATATGCATCAAACAGCCAATCAGGGCATCTGAGGGGAGAGAATAAGAAAGGGTAAATTTCACCTCCACATGATTGATGTCTTTGGAAATAGCTGTCAGACACAGAAACTCTCCTCTGTATAGCAGCTGCCTGAGTCCAGTTCAAAAGATGAAAGATGATGATCCAGTGGTGGTTAGTTAACTTGGAGTTGCTAAGTATGGAGAGCCAGCACAGCTTTCTTCAATCAGATACTATTTTATCTGCCAGTCTGCATTCTGCTTCTCATGAATTTCCTTGGCCTCTCGGTTTTCTTTTATTCTGTCCGTCATCCTGAGATATCTTTGTACTCCATTACCATGCCAGAACTCAGTCTGTTCTGGGTCACAGTGATGTTCTTGGCCCTCAAAATAGATGGTTTTCTGGTATCTCAAGCACTTATTTGAGTTCTCTTTCCAGGACAAAAACATGGTAACAAATTATAACATCTCTCTGAGGCATTTTATCTTCTTTAATGAACTTATCTGTACTAGACAAGGTAGATTATGATAGACGTATTATATTTAGATGTCCAATGGAAACATTGGGAAGCAAATAATATTTTGCCAATAAAGAGTAACACCAGTAATCTATTCCAGGCTGCCTGATTTGCATAGATTTCTTGATCCAGGAACATTTCTCTTGATCTTTTCCCTATCATTTGAAAAGTCATGCAAGGCACATGGTAGGTGGTTCCCAGTAAATGCTTAACTCTCCTTGTCTGATTTTCTGCATAACCTAAGAACCAACTGAAGTGCTAACTGACATAACCTTTCTTCCGCCCTCTTTTTCTTTTTTTCTTATAGTTTTTTTTTTTTTTTATCTTAGAGTCATATTTACGCTAGAAGTAAGTTTAATAGGTTGTGCAAAAATCCCAAAAAGAAACCCACCTTTCTGGAGAGGTCGATATGGTCCATCACTCTAAGACTTGGAAGAGCATGCACATCCTTACAGAGCTGGGCTGTGGCCAGGAAACAATGTCTCTAAAATTATTAACCAGAAGATACAAATATATGAAGCTAATATGAATGTTCTTTAGGGTTAAAAATTGCTCTGTTATATTTAGAGTCTGAAAATGCTTCAGATTAAGTCAGGCATATCATGTACCGTTGTTTAAGTGGCATACATTCAATTGTCTTATCTGCCTACATTAGGGAACAAAATTGACCATTTGTTTCCTCATTATTTTGACAAGTCTATATTGAACTACTATGAGCCAGGCATTGTGCTAGATGGTGGGGACATAGAGCCAAAAAATAATTGTGCTTATAAAGTTGGTGGGGAGATAGAACATGAGCACCAATCACGTCTTCATGTTAAAAAGAAGTTTCCCTGGGAGATGACAGCTAAGCTGAAGTAAAAAAGAAATAGCCAGGTGAAGAAGGTATCTATATGTGTGTGTACATGTGTATGTGGAAGATATAAGGGCTGGGAGGTAATAAGAGGCATTGCAGAGAGAAGAAAAAGATCCAGAAACAGAGCAGGTGCCTATGGTCTGCGAGTCTATCAGAATGACTGAAGGCTCATCAAGAGCAAGGGGGAATATGGTGTGATGAGTTCTGATCAGTAGGTGACCCTCTTATTGTTTGATTCTATCTTGTAACCATCATTTGATATTTTAGCATATTTTACTGATTTGATTTCTTTATAAATAATATTGGGAATTACCTATGAATCAACATTCTCAGATGTGCAAAATTGAAATACTTTCATTGCTTAGAGGATTGAGGGAAGTTCTAGAGACAAGCAGATGTTTTTACTACTTAGAGCATCAGGGTGTCAAAGTGCTCAGTTATTACTTTTAAGAGCCCTGAACCACTGCATTAGAAGAGGTATCCTATCATATCTGGGAAGAAAACAGTATTGACGTCGCTCAGAGTAAGACAGGAACATCAAAGAGGCCTGGCTGCTTGCTTGTATGGCAGGTGGGAGTGTCACCTTTGTGGCTTTCCCTGCAGTCCAGGGTGTGTGATCTGTGCCGCATAGGCCAGGCCAGGTCCAGACCAGTGCTCCCAGGAAGGAGAAGTCTCTTGAGGCCAGTCATGCTTACCAAACTATAAAAGACAATGAAGTCTCTAGGATGCCTATTGATCTATTTAAAAATGAGAAATATATGTGCCAACAGACCAATCAATTATTATAGCATTGACTGGCTCATGCATTCTTTCCTCATAGGAAAATTTGTAGGGCGTTATAATCAAAAGTTTCTTTTACAAGCTTGAAATCCAAAAGAGAAAGTTGGATGACCTCAGCAGCCAGTATCATCTAGCCATGATAGCTTATTGTAGCCATTTCCAACCTAGGGATCTATTTCCCAAGGAACTCCCAACATACTGGTCAGAAGCTTTCCACTAACTAGTAACATCAATGAGCTGACTAATTTCTTTTTTCCTATACTCTATGATGTCATCTTTATTATGTTGGTACTTTCCTTTAGATCTGTAAATACCTTGATTATGCTGCAGGTTTCTTTTTACATTCAGGCAAGTATATATTTCTGTTCGTCTAGTAGGCACTGGGTACCTCTCTGTGCTAGGCACCAAACTGAGCACTGGGGATAGAAACTCAAGGAGAGACTGAGACACCGTCACTGTGAACAAAATCTTTGCACAAAGCAATGAAGGCTAAAATAAAGAAATACATGAGGATATATAAGTTCAGAGGAAGAAGCACATTAGTTTAAATTTTATTCAATTTTTCATTTTTTATTTTTATGCTTTGTTTTGAGACTAGTTTGCTGCTGTGGAATGTCTGAAAGTGGCAAATTGCTTTTACTGCATGTCTGCCTTGAGTGGTTTGTCTCTTGGAAGGTAGTGTTGTCCTTTCCTCTGGAGGGATCTCGGTGTGGCTTGCTGGGTACTTACTGCCTATGATGGATGTGCTGCAGAGACTGGCTGGAAGCCACAGTGATGACTGGTATTGAGCTGTCCTCATAATTACTTTTTTGGGTAATAGTTTAATTAAAGCTACTGAGAGGGTAGCATAGTAGTTCAGAATGTAGGGGCTGGAGTTGGACAGATCTGTGTTGAAATTATGACTCTGCCACATATTACATGTTATGAAATCTAAAGGAAGTCTTTTAACTGCTCTAAGGGCTTGTTTCCTCAACAATATTCTGAAGCTAAGATATCTTTCATCAGGTTATTATGAAAATTAAATGAGATAAAGCATGTAAAATACCTGTCACATTATCAGCACTTACAAACTGTTAGCTTTTAGTTAGAGAAATCTGAGTTGGAGTCTAGAGGAGTATTTTTATTTGGTTTAAAATTTTATATTCTGATGTTATTTCTCCAGAAGACTAGTTAAGAAAATGTCAGCACATCAACTCATACTTATTTATTTTCTGTCTTTCTGTCCTGTGTTCCAAGAAGTCTCCTCTTTGTTTGCTTGTGGAAAGGTTGATGGTGAAAAAGCCTAATTCCCAGACAAGTGCTGTTTGTTAGTACTTGTTGAGGTTTTACATAATTCACTAATAAGGGAGTTAGCTTTAAAAAGAGAGAGAGAGAGAGCTTGTTTCTAGAGTATCTGAAAAAGAGAAATTCATATAGTCAATTTGGAACAGATTACTAAGTTGCATACAAAATTGGTTAATGCCCTGGAGGGTAGTAAAATATAACTTTAGAGATTTTTTTCCTACTAGGCCAAGAAAAAAATTACTTCATAATAGTTTTTTACAATTTAGTCTTAAACTTTATAGAACTGTAAATTGTCTGGGTTATCAAACCAAAGTATGTCTTCTGAAAGAACTGTCATATTAGAAAATACTCCAGCACAACATTTTAAAGGAAAATAATCATCAATTTGCTTTAGTACCAAGTTTTTCATAATTTTCCTACCACAATAGATAACTATGTTTCAGTACATAATTCATCTAACAACAACAATGAAGTGATGTGAGAGGATTTTGCACTGTCAAGAGGAATTAGAAAGACTGTTTTTAAAAAGGCAGGGGGGGACATGCTAATAGGAAAAGAAGTAGGTTGACAGTGAAGACGGAGGACTTGCCTTTGAAAGAGGAAAGAAGTGAGAACGTAGGGGAAGAAGATGCTCAGATCATTCTGCAGGGTTGCCTCTGTGGCCTCCTTACAATTCTTTTCCCTATTCGTAGAGCTATGACCCCTCATTCTCTGGGAAAGAGGAGAGGATGGCAAAAGGTTGTCCAGGGTTTTCAGAGAAAAGTGATGGAATCCATGCTCTTTGAGACTCCCCCTCTGGGTCCAATATTTGTTTCTTCATGGGTTCAATGCTCCTTTCTTCGTGCTTCCTTAGCTGAACCTAATCTGTTCTCTCTTTCCATCCATAGTGGCGTAGATGTTTACTATGCAGTTACCTTCAACGGTGAGGCCATTAGCAATACCACCTGGGACCTCATCAGCCTTCACTCCAACAAGGTGGAAAACCATGGCCTTGTGGAACTGGACGATAAACCCACTGTTGTTTATACAATCAGTAACTTCAGAGATTATATTGCTGAGACATTGCAGCAGAATTTTTTGCTGGGGAACTCTTCCTTGAATCCAGATCCTGATTCCCTGCAGCTTATCAATGGTGAGTTTCATATCCATCATGAAGTCCTTGTCTAGTTTCTTTTCCGGTATGCTCTGGTGTAAACTAATTTCCCAAAATATATAAGGTTCTGACCATTCTCTAGACTTTATGAGACAGGAGTCAACCTGATATGAATGGAGCTTTAGCCGTGCAGCTCTTTTGGATAGATTAATCAGGGGCTTTCTGGAATGTTTTTAGACAAAAGGCCACAGAGTGTGGAAAGTGGCAGTTAGAAATAGTTTAGGGAAATAGGAGCAAAGTATAAGAAAAAGGAAAGTAGTACTTGGAAGTATGTGCTGAAACAGGCTATAATGCTTCCCTGACAACTGAGACATGAACTCTCTGAGGTAAGTCAGCTAGTAAAGGCTTAAAAATCAGAGTGTAGAAAAAAAGGAAGAGCTCAAGAAAGGCAATGGGAGATCTAGGTCAAAGAAGAAGTGATAATGGGTGCCGTGCGGAATCCCGGATAACCCAATACTGACTTTAAATTCAGATCGCTGTGGAGATCCTGTTATGATCCATAATGAACAGGTGGATATGACAGATCGTGAAGAAGAGGGTGTTTAACCTGGATTTGGAGGCTACAGGGTGCCCAGTCAACCTTGGACTTAAAACTTGCTAAGATTCTGGCTACTAGGATGCAGCATCTTAACTCATCAGGGCCACGGTATCCTGCTAACTCACTTGCTACTTTGCATTTGCTTCTATTCTCCATGATTTCTTTACTCATTGGTAGTTTAGCTTTTAAAATGTTCAGTGGAATATGCATTACTGAAGTGACAGCATGGGAGAAGTACCAGCTGCCGAGGAGGAAAATCTACAAGTGAGGCAATACTAATGGCATTTTTACAGCCTCTGTAGCTGCCACACATTTTAAAGAGAAAAGAGCCTCTGTCCTGTCCCTTCAGGCAGCTACTACCTAGCCGTGTGCGTGTGTGTGTGCGCGTGCGTGTGTGTGTGTGCGTGCATGTGTGTGTGTGCGTGCGTGTGTGTGTGTGCGTGCGTGTGTGTGTGTGCGTGCATGTGTGTGTGTGCGTGCGTGTGTGTGTGTGTGTGTGTAACAAATGAACAAAAATAGACACTAGAGAAGCCAGAGAGGCTTGTTGGATTTACACAGGAAGATCAGAAAATTAATAATCAAAGAAAATAGTAGATTTAAAAGGCAAGGTAGGGAAGGAGAATTTTTAGAGAGACAAAGAAGAGTCTTGTCTTTCCAGGCAGTTATGTGTGTGTGTGTGTGTGTGTGTGTGTGTGTATTTGTGTATATATGTGTGTGTGAAAGAGACAGAGAAAGTGAGAAAGGGAAAGGGAGAGAAAAAATTTTTAATAAGATTTTACTGCATGTGATTTAATCTCTTTTTTCCCCAAATAAGATTTTGTCTCTGCCTCTGTCTTTCTCTCTCTCTCTCTTTCTTTCTCTCTCTCTTTCTTTCTTTTCTTTTCTTTTTTCTTTTCTTCTCTTTTCTTTCTTTCTTTTTTCCAGACCAAAACTTTACATTGCTTTCAACTTATTTTGGCTGCTGGACCAACCGTTTTTTTTAATGTGACACTCTGCTGGGACAGGGTCACAAAGTGGTCTGGGCTTTATATGAATTACATAGGACTTTAAGATGGAGAAGCACTCTCTTCAGTGGAGGAGAGTGGTATAGGACCATTCATTCTGAAACATTAGGGAGCCTTTATATTTTGGAGTAGGTATCCTGCGCCCACTTCTTTGCATACTCCTTTGTCATTGTTGAATCTCTGCTGGAATACTAGGGCTAGATAAAACAGTGAACAGATAAGAAGCTTGTTATAATCTGAAACTGCTGAAGTCGCTCTGGCAATGCTAATAGAGATTAGCCGGGGCTAACCATAGGGACGGCATATGGGCAGAAGATTCTAGGCATCAGGATATTGGGATCAGACAGAGAAAAGATATAGTTAGGAGATCATGACCTAAGTGGGTTAAGAACCGACATTGAGCAGAAGGTGCAAACACCAAGGTCAGTAGCTGGAGTGGTAGGAGAATGGCATGAAGATTAAGGTCTACAATAAACAGAGGTTGCTTAGGAAACGACATCCACAAACAGTATTGCAAGATCTTCCTTTTGTGTGGAGCCTGTGGGTGGAGCCACTTTCATAAAGGTGTCCTGAAAAGAGGTAAACGACTTTCTTAGAATTTGTAAGCAAGTTCAACAAAAGCTTTACAATATCTAATACCAACTAATTCAAGTGCCTTAGGCTTTCCTTAGATGTATATTTCAATTAGTCAGAAGTTTGTCTCTAAAGTTTATTTCTATTGTCAGGCCAACTTCAGAGTTCTGAATGGTGGCAGCTTTCTATGTAACTTGATCATTATCTCAAAAGACATGATCCTCCTTGTATTAGTCCATTCTCACACTGCTCTAAAGAACCTGAGGCTGGGTAATTTATGAAGAAAAGACGTTTAATTGACTTACGGTTCCACAGGCTGTACAGGAAGCATAGCCGGAAGGCCTCAGGAAACTTACAATCATGGCAGAAGGTGAAGAGGTGAAGGGCAAGCAAGCACGTCTTGCCATGGTGGAGCAGAAGGGAGGCAGGGGAAGAGACAGAGAGAGAGAGGGAGAGAGAGAAGTGCCACACACTTTTAACCAACTAGATCTCATCAGGACTCACTTACTGTCACGAGAACAGCAAAGAGGAAATCTGCCCCCTTGATCCAATCACCTTCCACCAGGCCCCACTTCTAGCACTTGGGATCGCAACTCAACATGAGATTTGGGTGGGGACATCATAGAGACAAACCATATCACTTCTTGATCTTGTGGAGCTTATTTTTCATAGAAGACAAGATAATTGTATACACAGTTTTTAAAAGTTTTGGAAAATACGTAAGCCAAATAGGGTTTTTGACCTTTGCTTGATTCCTGTTATGTCAGGCCAGTGGGAACAGGTGGATAAAGAGACTCTACTTCTATTTTTGGTTGCATACACTAGATCACTCTCCTGGCAATCCCTTCTTTTTAGCTTTTATTGATTTTCTCTCCCCTGTAGGCAAAATCAGCTGCTTCTTTGTCTGTGTCACCATATATTGTATATATGCCCCTTACATTGTTTTAGAATTTGTGTTTATTTCCCTGATATATGCAATACTTCCAGAAGAGAAACTTGGCTTTATTAATGTTTATAGCCTCAACTTTGGTAAAGTCTGTGGTAACTAGCAAGGATTCATTAAATTTTTGTTGAATTAAATGATATAATCTACTCTCTATGTTGCTCTTTAATATCATTACAGTGATAAAGATTTTTGGTGTCCTAGCTCAGTTTTCAAAGGTACTTTCTTCCCAAAAGGCAATTATGTTTGCATACTTTTCTACCATTCTTAGCATAAACCAAATGAATTGAAATTTTAGTACAACTTTTTTACTTAAAGATTAATTTAAAAATAAGCGCTTCATAGGAATCTTGAACAGAATAAAAACTGACTTGGGAAAGGAAAGGAAGTAATAGAGGATGTCCTAAATATAATAATGGGAAGAATCTTTATTTTATGTTAGATTCTTATAATTCAGGCAGATTGTGCTAATATAAATAAAATATCTGAATAAAGTAATAAATATTTTCTAAGTAAGTGTGTCCCGTATGTTCTGCTAGAATCTAAACCATGAAGAGGAAGAACTTGGCTTTCAGTTGTCCCTGCACCTCAAATACAGTACGGCCTCAACTAAAAATGTTCTTTAATGTTGTTCTTTCCTCAGTGAGAGGAGTTTTGCGTCACCAAACTGAAGATCTAGTTTGGAACACCCAAAGTTCAAGTCTTCAGGCAACGCCATCATCTATTCTGGTATGTTTTTATATTTTATGCTAGAACTAGGCCCTCAAGCTTCTCTTCTTTCTTCCCTCACCTGCTTACTTTGGCATTATACATTTCCCAAGCTGTTCTCACTTCAATTATTCTCTTGCATCATCCCTAGACCATTACTCATAGGTGTCAGCTCATAGGTACCAAGTGTTGGTTCAGAAAATTTAAGCCTTCTGCAGTGGTGAAATAAAGTCTGCATTGCCAAACTCCACACAGGGTAGAAAACTTATTTATGGTTCCTACTTGCTCGGTGATAATTAAGCTATTAAGTGCCCGCTGAGTTGTTCTCTGAGAGTTACCCAGAAATAGATTTTATAGCCAAGATGATATATTGATGTACTAGGTATAGAGCGTAGATTTTTTTTCAATGATTATAGTGAAGAAAAGGTTACACTGCGAAGCACATAGAACAGTGTGTGTACGGAAGGGAGAGAAAGAAGCATATCTGCTAGCTGACGGATGACAGGGACTCTAAATCAGGCCTCCTTGTAACCTGGACTGAAAACTCCCGCTTGCATAGAAGCAGCATGGGACGAACTTTCCTTTTTGTTCTTACCACCCAGCTGCATTAGGAATTCCTCTTCCCCTTAAACCTCCACTTGCCACTTCACTTGTAGGGAGTTATACAGTAGGAAAGAAACAGCATAGTTTAAACAACAATGATAACATCTACAACCACAAACCACTACAGAATTACCTGTCTGCAATGAATACAGGAATCTTTTGTTATCACATAGAAACAGTAAGGGGACTCCCTTCTCATCGACATTCCTTGCTTTTCTTCCCTCTGAAAATTTATTTTCTGTCTCATATCAGCTATTTGAATTACTTGTTTCTCGACTTTAATGGAGCGATGGAAATTCAGAAAGCCTGCCCTTAATTCATGTAACCATTAATCTCTGCAGCCATTTCTTCTACTAGGTTACAGAGTAACTCATTATTACAATGTAGAATTACTAAAAACAATCTTTTCACTGAGTTACATATTGGACAAAATATATTAGAAGAGATTTACAGAGAGTACATTCATTTGGTGTGTATTTATTTCTTCACTTCTTCATTCATTCAAATATGTTTGTTTTGTGCTTTCTATGTGCCAAGAGCTTGTGAAACTAAGACAAATAAGGTGTGGCTCTGCCTACAAAAATTTCTAGTCTGGTGGTAGTAGACAGATTTCTAAACAAGGTGATGCAGACATTGTCCTAGAGGTCGATCCAGGGTACAGGGAGCGATGACAGCACCACGACTCTCCCGCTTTTAATCACATTCTCTAACCACAGGAGGAGCTTCGTGATGATATTTTAGAATCATATTGTGAAGATGAGAATTTCTATATAAGCCAGAGCGTGTAAACTGGAGACTAGCTGGATCCAACTACAGACATGCAGCTTGGGACCAAATTAAAAAAAAAATAAGTCAATATTTTAAAACTAGGAGATTTTTACATAAAAATGCAGATTTCTGGCTTCTTTTGAACACCAGGAAGATCTGCTACTGTTAAGTTCATATTCCTTTGTGGCAGAAAGTGGCTGGAGCTTGGCTGTGGCTGCCCCTTAATGATAGCAAGCACCAGTAGGCTCACTTGTTCATTTATGTTGCAGTGCTTTCATTTGCATTTATGCCAACTCATTACTTTTTTGAATAGTGATTACTGTAGGGCATTCATTAACAATGTAAGGAAACATTAGAATGTTAATGGGAGATGATAAGACATGAAAACAAGGAATGATTAATTAGAAATGTCTAGTTATTACTTTCTTTTTAATTTATTCCTTCCCTCCCTTTCTTCACGCCCTTGCCAACTGTTAGCAAGATTTTACTCTACCATAGAAGTGAGGTGGGTTCCCCGCCTAGATTTTATTTTAAAAAATTATTTTATATATACAGAGCTGCAATAATTATATTACTAATCATTTTATTGTTTTTATTATTAGTAATAAAGGCTTTATTCAAAGAGTAAAAAAATGTTATTTTAGAGCTAGGAATGTTGGGAAAGGGAATTTGACACCTTTCTGGCACCCTGACTTGGAAAATCACTTGTACAGTGTGCTTTCTTTAGGACTAACAAGCTTTTCAATTGGCAGTAGCAGAAATGAAATTGGCCAATATAATACAGTTGTCAATATACTACATTGAACTAAAAGAAAGCATAAGTTAAATTTGTTACGATGGAAACATCTATGGATAGAAAAATTAATGAAGGGCTATTCCTGGCATGTATATGTTAACCTTTCAAAATGTATAAGAAAGCTTCATTGCCATGCCAGTTTTTAGGGAATACGTATTTGAAAGGGATGGTCTTTCTTCTTTATTTGAAAAGTCAAGTTGTTTACTTTCACATTTTATATTGTCTGTGACTTGACTTTTGAAAAGATTTTATATATTGTTTCACTTTTAATTTTTTATGAAGTGAAAAGGCATTTTGTTTACAGATACACTGAAATGGTATATTACTGCTTGAGGATTTCTTTTTCGTTGAGGATTCAGCTGCTTTCCTAATGTGTGTCAGGTTATGCGCTCCATCTGATAAAACTCAATTTCTTAAGCATGGCTTGAAGGGCTTAAGTTATCTCACCTGAGTTTTCTTGTAAAGTACATTTGGAATTTGCAAGAATATATGAGTAACTTTAACACATCTCTGGAAGTAGTTTTATATAATTAAAAGGAATAAAGTTAATTCCCTCTTATGGAATGATCATCATCATTGTAACTACTTTATTGAAGAACAGACCTTGGTATTGAGCAAATGGCCTTCTTTTCCCTGACTACAAATGTAATTTTCAGTCCTAGAAAAATAAAGGGGAAGGCTACAAACTTTTTTTCTATGTAAACAGCCTCCATATCCCATAGAGCAGATATCTGAATATTAGGAGATGGCTGCCCACACTCCCTCCATCTGTGTTGACCTGGGTTGTATAAACCTGTGGAATATGTTAACCCAAATGAGCGCATGGACTGCCAAGTCTGTTTGCTCTAGTTTCTCCTCTGAGAATCCTTTTACCACTTGGGAATATACACTTGTAGAGACCTCTGGATGAATAGCTGTTAGTGGGAAAAGCACTGGCACTGAGAAATCTAGAGACTTGGCTGCTTCCAGTCTGTTTTTTTGTCTCTTTTTTTGTGTGTCCTTGAGCATTTCACTTCTATGATCCTCAGTTCCCTCTCTTTAATAGGCATAGTTATACTACATGTGTTCTTGAGTCCTTCTAAGTGTAAAATGTGATAATTTTGTTATGTTCACATACATGTGCATGCTCAGCCCCTCTTACCAATATAAGATTTTTACAAGCCAAAGGATGGCCTCGTAAAGCACATGAGCCTTTGGCAAGACAAGAGCTGGTGTTTTTACTTAACTTTTTCGCCTTTCACTTTCTGGACTTTAATTTGTTGTCTTCCATTTCTCTGGAAATAAACTCTTGCTCTATCTCTGTTCGTGAGGACTCAGAATAACTTAGACCCTCTAGGCAGAAATATGAACCAGCTTTATTCTATTTGGTGGTAAGTTATGTAGGAGCATTCTGCACACAGGTCAGCAATTGTAAGCCACCTCTACTGAATAGAGTTATGTAAGGTTAACTCTACTCCTGGTAATTGCATGGTGTTTTCTGAGACAGTGTATTGCTCTGTCACCCGGGCTGGAGTGCAGTGGTGTGATCATAGCTCACTGAAGCCTCAAACTCCTTGGGTTCAAGTGATCCTCCTGCTTCAGCCTCCAGAGTACTATAGGAATGTAATATAGGAGTGCACCAAGGCACCCAGTTATTTTTTTATTTTATGATTTTTGTAGAGACAGAGTCTTACTCTGTTGCCCAGACTTGCATGCTCTTAAAGTTTACTAGAAAAATGCCAGAAGTCATCTCTCCAATTAGATCTTCTTTTTCTTTTTTTGTCCTGAATCATGAAACATGTCTTCTTATCCTCAGGTGCACTTCTGTTAGGAGATTCCCCAAGAGGGAATTTTGTGTCCTGAGATCTTTCTCTTTCTCTATAGGTTGTTTTGCAATTGTACCTAGTCATTTAATGATGGCCTCTGGCTTCCTCTTTCTTTACAGATGTTTTGCTTTGTCTCTCATACATTTCACTTCAACAGATTCAGGAGATTTGGTTATTAGACTCCAGTCTAATTCCTAGATATATCTTGCTTCTATTTCTTTTCTTTTTTTTTTTTAGCCAAAGCTACATTGCCAAAAATGTTGGCTAACATTGCATCATATACTTTTTATCACTCTCCTTTTTCCTTTCCAGATTTTTATTTTCTGGCTAAATTTACATTTAACCAGAATGATATCATTTTTGGTTCATGTTGTTGTTTTAAGTGATTCTCATTCCTTATTTGCTGGGCATTTATATTTCATTTTGGATTGTCTAATCACTTTTTGACAGAAATGACTTAAACTTTAATGGATTTTTAAATGAAGTATATTATAAAAGGATGGCACCTTTGCATAATATCACTCATCCAGGGTCTCAGCAGTAACAGAATCATCTAGAAGAATCTACTAATGGAGATGTGGATAGGGTTAAGGGAGCATAAAAAGAATGTTGAGGTGTGCAGAGACTAACAACAGTGGGAAGCAATTACCACTACCATCCATTGGAGTACAGAGGAAGGGGAGGAAATGCTGTTACCAGAGCCCCTGGACAGCTGGAGCTGTAATTGTGGAGGGAGAAGCACAGCTATGCTAGACACATAGTATTGAGGCTTGGAGGAAGCAGGGAAGACATACCTTGACCTCTCTTCCCCCTGTCCTTTGATCTGCTTATGCTTCCCATTGGCCAAACTCAAACAGAAAACAAATGCAAGGCAGCATTTGCAAGACTGGTACAGATCACAGGGTCAGCCTCCTAGGGCAGAGGGCAGGAAGAGAAGGATCTGAAGTGGTGGTGACCCACTTAAAATAGGAACCAATGAAAACAACATGGACAAGGCAGAAAGTGATGTTGTAACTGAGTTCCACAAAAGAAAATAAGATTTTCTTTTTAAACTAAAGTGCTTTTAGTTTAAAGATGGTAGATGAAACTGTGGGTAACCCTCTATAGAACCAATGACCTTCTGTTATTACCATCTTTCCTGTGCATTTGTCACTAGGGGAAGGGACAAAGTAGGACATGCCTGGTGGTTTCTTGCCTCATGGTCCCCCATCTGTGACTGGGAGAGTGTATAGTTCAAAGCCTTCTTACACAGCTCTTTGACAGAGAGACAAGGGGCACTGTGAAGACAAAGCATAAAAGACTAATTAGGCCTTGTGTAATAGTCTGTTTTCACACTGCTGATAAAGACATACCTGAGACTGGGCAATTTACAAAAGAAAGAGGTTTAATGGACTGACAGCTCCACGTGGCTCGGGAGGCCTCACAATTATGGCAGAAGGTGAAGGGCACATGTCACATGGTAGTAGACAAGAGCCGAGAGTTTGTGCAGGGAAAATCCCCTTTATAAAACCATCATATCTCATGAGACTTATTCACTATCACGAGAACAGCATGGGAAAGACCTGCCCCCATGATTCAATCACTTCCCACCAGGTCCCTCCCACAACATGTGGAAATTCAAGATGAGATTTGGGTGGGGACACAGTCAAACCATATCACCTTGTTTTGGGTCAGCTGTCTTCATAGGCCAGTATGTTCTGTTTTATTTCATGGCCATAGACTGAACTCTAGTTAGCCACCCTAAAATTGTGTGCTTTGTTCAAAAAGCATATTAGGGTTGAGACTGTCAGTGCAAATTTACTATTGCTGATAGGAGTCTCCTGGAGTTGCGGGGAGGAGGTTAGATTCAGCATTTCTTATTCCTAGTTTTCATTTTGTTCATAGGTATAACATGAATTTTAGTCTTTTGATAGACTTATAAATATGGGAAATTTCTTAATGGTTCCAGTTGATAAGAAATAAAATCATTTAGCAACTGAAGAAGTATATTAGAAACACAGGCTGGAATATTATGCCCAGAACATGATCCAGCCATTTCCTCTACTAGAGAACTTTTACAAGTACCCATGTCTAGGTTCTCCTCCCAGACCAATTAAGTTAACATTTCTGAGTGTCAGCCCTGGGAATTGGTGTTTTTCAAAAGCTTCCATGTGATTCAAATACCTTTTTTTTTTTTTTTTTTTTTTTTTGAGATGGTGTTTTGCTCTCATTGTCCAGGCTGGAGTACAATGGTGTGATCTTAGCACACCGCAACCTCTGCCTCCCAGGTTCAAGTGATTCTCCTGCCTCAGCCTCACGAGTAGCTGGGATTACAGGCATGTGCCACCACACCCAGCTAATTTTGTATTTTTAGCAGAGATGGGGTTTCTCCATGTTGGCCATGGCTGGCCTCGAACTCCTAACCTCAGGTGATCCACCTGCCTTGGCCTCCCAAAGTGCTGGGATTAAAGGTGTGAGCCACCACACCCGACCTCAAATACCTTCTTAGGACTGAAAAGAATTGTTCTTTTCTCTTTTCCTTTTTCAGTTTTCATATATCCAGGATATATTTTATGAGTTTTTTCCATGTGGATTGTACTTCTCTATCTTTGTTATTCAGAATCCGGAATAAATTATATAAACTCCTGCCAAATACTGCGGCCATTTTACCTCTTAGCAGTATTGTTAAACTTTTTTTTTTTTTTTTTTGAGACAATGTCTTGCTCTATAGCCCAGGCTGTAGTGCAGTGGGTTGATCATAGCTCATGGTAGTCTTGAATTCCCAGGATCAAGTGATCCTCCTCCCTCAGCCTCCCAAGTAGCTAGAACTCCAGGTGTGTGCCACCATGCCTGGCTAAGCTAATTTTTTGTTGTTGTTGAGATGGGGTCTTGTTATATTACCCGGACTGGACTTCTAGCCTCAAGCGATCCTCCTGGTTCAGCATCCCAAAGTGCTGGGATTATAGACGTGAGCCACTGTGGCTGGCTGATTATTGTACATTTACATAGACAGTTCTTCATAAAATTAAATAATTAACATGTTCAAGGTTTGTGTTTCTGTATACTTCTCCATTTCTGAACTACATTTTAAGATAAGATTAGTAGTACATTAGTAAAACATCACTAGAAAGAGGAAATTGTTTATGTTTCATAAGTGTGATACCATTTTACAGGAGTGGCTATTCATTTGAGGTAACCAGACTACATTTTGTTGTGGTGACATTTCTGACCAAACTAGAGGGCCTTCATTAACTAATTATCTTTTCAGAACGATGAATAAAATTGTCAGTTGTTCTTTCCTGCTGTGGGCAATGGACTTAGATCTTTGCCAACAAGTTACAGATAACAGTAACTTCTATGTATTTAAAGTCATTTAAGCTAAAAACACAGAGGAAAATGAACCATCTAAAGAAAAAAAACATTTTCTCTCACAAATTCACTTTGTTTGAGGGCTTTAAAATATGTTACCTCATCTGTCCTTGCTTTTCAGGTGAGAGGTGATATAGTTTTTCTCTAGAAATTGGAATTTGACTATAAATCTGTTTGATTCTGGAGCCCATGTCTCCCCCTACTCCCAATACTATTAATACACTGCCTCCTTGTCCCTAGAAAATCTGGGAATATAGATAGATAGGTGGTATTTAAAATCACTTTTTATATGTTTCTTTTATCTATGATATGATTTAGCCTTTTTTTCCCCCCAGGATAATACCTTTCAAGCTGCATGGCCCTCAGCAGATGAATCCACCACCAGCAGTATTCCACCACTTGATTTCAGCTCTGGTCCTCCCTCAGCCACTGGCAGGGAACTCTGGTCAGAAAGTCCTTTGGGTGATTTAGTGTCTACACACAAATTAGCCTTTCCCTCGAAGATGGGCCTCAGTTCTTCCCCAGAGGTTTTAGAGGTTAGCAGCTTGACTCTTCATTCTGTCACCCCGGCAGTGCTTCAGACTGGCTTGCCTGTGGCTTCTGAGGAAAGGACTTCTGGATCTCACTTGGTAGAAGATGGTGAGAAACTTTAATCGCTTTTCATACTTCTTGTTGTATCTGATGACAGGGTTTTTAGAGAGAGGAAGAGACTATGGCTGTGAAAAAAACATAGTAGTATTCATTAGGGGTAAAATGTCTTGGTAAAATTGTTTGTGAGAGGAAACAATCAAATTTAATTTGTTGGAATGGAGAGTCCAAATAGGTAAATAATAAGAAGTATACTTGGGGAGCTGGGGTGGGGATCAATTAACAGATATTTTGAAGGTCATATCGAAGGGTATATAGTTTAGTTAAATTACTGCTACTACTATTAAATAACCACTTTACTTAAATATTGGAGTAATAAATAGTGTCAAAGAAGATTATTCAACTAGGTCATAATACAATTAGTTGTGGGGGCCAAGTCTAAAGATTCTTGCTTGTAGTAGTATTCTGAAGGGAAGAAACTAAATCATGGCAGCCACAGCAGAGATAAACAAGTGAAAATGAAATAGATGATCTAGATGTTGTGGAGGAAAGGAAAAATAAATGTGACTTAGAAATGGAGTTTACATGTGAAATGAGGAAGATGAGCAAATATATAAATAATGAGTTCAGGATTGTGAATATTGGGTGAATCTGAAGGATGATAGACAATAAACATAGCAGGGAAAATGAGAATTCAAAGAGAAACACAATGTTCAGGGAATTTTCCTCCTAAATGACTGCTGGATTTAGTATTTGTTGTCAAAATTACTACTAGCAGTTCTTTATTTTCATGGAATTAAAAAAAAAAAAACAAGTGTTTGAAGATTATTTCAATAGTCAAGGTCTTGTCATCCTCGAGAAGGAGATAATATTCATGAGTGACTGTCCCATATTACAAACATGTTATCAGATTTTCCTTTTGTTTGCTAGATATAGAAAAACAAAAGTCAACAATTGCCCCTGTTAACTTCACAGGGAAAAATTAGGAAACTAATTTTATTAGAAGAACTAGAAGAACTAGGAATATATTTTGGCAACTCTGTGGATTAATTAATGGAAAACTTTATTTTTAGGATTAGCCAATGTTGAAGAGTCAGAAGATTTTCTTTCTATTGATTCATTGCCTTCAAGTTCATTCACTCAACCTGTGCCAAAAGAAACAATACCATCCATGGAAGACACTGATGTGTCCTTAACATCTTCACCATATCTGACCTCTTCTATACCTTTTGGCTTGGACTCCTTGACCTCCAAAGTCAAAGATCAATTAAAAGTGAGCCCTTTCCTGCCAGATGCATCCATGGAAAAAGAGTTAATACTTGACAGTGGTTTAGGTTCAGGATCAGGGCAAAAAGTAGATCTGATTACTTGGCCATGGAGTGAGACTTCATCAGAGAAGAGCACTGAACCGCTGTCCAAGCCATGGCTTGAAGATGACGATTCACTTTTGCCAGCTGAGATTGAAGACAAGAAACTAGTTTTAGTTGACAAAATGGATTCCACAGACCAAATTAGTAAGCACTCAAAATATGAACATGATGATAGATCCACACACTTCCCAGAGGAAGAGCCTCTTAGTGGGCCTGCTGTGCCCTTCTTCGCAGATACTGCAACTGAATCTGCATCTCTAACCCTCCCCAAGCACATATCAGAAGTACCTGGTGTTGATGATTACTCAGTTACCAAAGCACCTCTTATACTGACATCTGTAGCAATCTCTGCCTCTACTGAAATATCAGATCAGGCAGATGCCATCCTAAGGGAGGATATGGAACAAACTACCGAGTCATCCAACTATGAATGGTTTGACAGTGAGGTTTCAATGGTAAAGCCAGATATGCAACCTTTGTGGACTATATTGCCAGAATCAGAGAGAGTTTCGACAAGAACTTCTTCCCTAGAGAAATTGTCCAGAGACACATTGGCAAGTACACCACAGAGTACTGACAGACTCTGGTTGAAAGCTTCTGTGACACAGTCTACCAAATTGCCTCCAACCACAATCTCCACCCTGCTAGAGGATGAAGTAATTATGGGTGTACAGGATATTTCATTAGAACTGGACCGGATAGGCACAGATTACTATCAGCCTGAGCCAGTCCAAGAGCAAAATGGCAAGGTTGGTAGTTATGTGGAAATGTCTACAAGTGTTCACTCCACAGAGATGGTTAGTGTGGCGTGGCCCACAGAAGGAGGAGATGACTTGAGTTATACCCAGACTTCAGGAGCTTTGGTGGTTTTCTTCAGCCTCCGAGTGACTAACATGATGTTTTCAGAAGATCTGTTTAATAAGAACTCTTTGGAGTATAAAGCCCTGGAGCAAAGATTCTTAGAATTGGTAAGCACAAAAAGTGAAACATGGGCGCTAGTGAATAATCGTGTATGACCCACTCCTCCTCCCCTCTAGCACACAAGGTCTGAGCCAGGGAAAGTGTGATCTGCTGTGAACATTCATTTCCTATAATTCACAGATAGTATCATGGCCTAGGGTTGGAAAGAAAACAGTAAGACATATAAGAAATGGAAAACACAAAAGTGGCATGAGAGTGATGTGATAATTTACAGGGAAGATTGTTTTCATGAATTATGGGACTACAATAAGTTTGACATTTCTTTTCACATTTTATTGTGAAGCTAATGTTTTGTGGGTACCTATATCGCCTTCACTGTTGGGATCCTTCAGTGAAACAGAGAATAAACTCTCTGAGTATCTAAAACTATGTATGAATTCCATGGGATTCCTAAATATCACTATGAAAATCGCATAGCATTTCTAGTTTATACTGTCAAATCATTCCTAATTTGTACTTTTGTTAATTAACAGTTTAAATGTAGATAAAATACAATTAGGAAAAGTGAGGCAGGGTCTTTACCTGTGTTTTTGTTTCATTTTGTTTGGGTATGTATTGAACAAAATGTGAAACATTGTCAATAAACTTACCACTTTTTGTGTATTGTAGCTGGTTCCCTATCTCCAGTCAAATCTCACGGGATTCCAGAACTTAGAAATCCTCAACTTCAGAAATGGCAGCATTGTGGTGAACAGCCGAATGAAGTTTGCCAATTCTGTCCCTCCTAATGTCAACAATGCGGTGTACATGATTCTGGAAGACTTTTGTACCGCTGCCTACAATACCATGAACTTGGCTATTGATAAATACTCTCTTGATGTGGAATCAGGTATGATATTGCCTAGCATGGTGGTTTCTTAGTAGAATCCCGTGATTATTCTTGTGTGTTTTCTTCCTCATTGCGTTAAGGTGAATCCAATACTCGTAGGAAAAAAGAGTACTATGTCAGACAAATCTTCCACATCTTAATAACTAGTAAAATATTTCTCCCAAGAACATCAACATCACTCCCTTTTCAAAACATCCTCCAAACATTTTACTTTATTATTCCACCTCCATTCCCTTTTCTACCCACTGCGTCTGGCTTTTGTTTTTATTTACCTACTGGATCTGTTCTTGCTATGCCTTCATGTTGTCACCTGCAAGGTTTGGGCCTTCCTCCCTTTAAGCTTTTGCATCCATTTCCATTGTCTTAAGCCTTATATAAATGTCAATAACTCTCCACATTTTTTTATACAGATAAACATCTCTCATAACCTCCAGAATCAGTGTTTACTTACTTGACAGTCTCCACTTGGATGTATTCTGTGTATATCTAATTTAAGATAGCTGTGGGTGAGCTCTTCTTTTCCATATCTCACCACTCTCCAGCTATATCTACTCTTTCTCTCAGCTTCTCTATCTCTCTCCACAAATGTAAGGTTTATCTAATCAGCTACTTAAGCTGGAAACCTGAGTGTTTTAATTTAATTTAATTTAATTTAATTTAGGAGAGCTAAGTAATTAAACATGAGGCCAAAGTACATAAGAAAGTGGCAGTCTTTTATTGCAAATATGCACACACTCTCGGGCGAGGTTCTCTGGTCCTCAGGTGTGGGGGGCCAGGGAAGTTGTGCCAGCGCTCTCAGGTGAGGTTCTCCAACCCACGAAAACGGGGGTCGAAGAAGTCACACCGGCGCTTACCGGCGGCAGACTTTTATGCCTGGGAGCTAGAAGGGGAGGAGGGCAGTGGGCGGGATAAGGGCATGATAGGGGCGTCTCCGTAGGCATGGCCGGGTAAGTTTCGATCTCTTAGGATTGACGTCACGTGGCGCATGCTCGGTTGATCTGCATCTTCCCAGGCGCGGGAAAGTTGGTGATGAAGAACCCGGAAGCAACATGGATTGTGCCTTCTTGTTCACCTTCCTCCATCTTGTCCTTTCTCCCTCACCCAAACACTGAGAAAATTTCTTTTCTGTTTATTTTTTTTGAGGTGACGTTTTGCTCTTGTTGCCCAGGCTAGAGTGCAATGGCATGACCTCGGCTCATTGCAACCTCTGCCTCCTGGGCTCAAGCAATTCTCCTGCCTCAGCCTCCCGAGTAGCTTGGATTACAGGCACCTGCCACCACGCCTGGCTCATTTTTTGTATTTTTAGTAGAGACGGAATTTCTCTATGTTGGCTAGGTTGGTCTTGAACTCCTGACTCAGGTGATCCACCCGCCTTGGCCTCCCAAAGTGCTGGGATTACAGGTGTGAGCCACCGCCCCTGGCCAGAGAAGTCATCCTTGATACCTCAATTCCTAACACCTGGAACTTTTAGTCACTCACCAAACTTATATTGATTCTGAATTCTAAGAATATCTCAAATTCATGCTCTTTTCTCTATCTCCATTGCTACGACTCCATCCAAATCACCATGATCTCTCCTTTGCACCGGTTTCCCCACATCCTCTCATGCTCCCCCTCCTATCCATCCTCCATAAGGCAGACATGGTACTCTTGAAGGACTGTCCGGCTCAGTAGCCACAAGGCCTTGTCCCCATTTTCTTTCCCGATATCCAATGTAACTAACCTCTGCTCAACATGTTCTAGTCAAACCAGCTTGTTTTTTGTTACTCAGATACAAACCCTTCTTACCTTAAAGCCTTTGCACACACTGTCCACTTTTGCCTTCTTACTGACTCCTGCTCACCCATGTGCCTCAGTTCGAATGTCACTTCCTCAGGACTTTTCATTGGCTCACCTGTGGTCTAGACTGAGTCTTTCCTCTCAGTTTTTATATTAATAGTACAATGTTCTTTCCTCTAGAGAGTTATCATCATTGTAACAATGTTAATTTATGTGCATAGTTGCTTAATGGCTATTTTTTCCAGATGAGCTTTTTACAAGAACTGAGAATGTGTTTGTTTTATTAACTACTTTTTAGCCAGAACGTAGCATAGTGTCTTGAACACAGAAGGTACTCAAAAATACTGTGAATGAATGAAATGAATCATTGCTTTTATTTTGAAGCCTTGGATGCAGAGAACACTGTTGAAATGTGAACTTTTGTTCTTCCTTCCCTTCTACATACCAGAGGACAGAGGTTTTGAGGAGTAAGATGGAATGTCTGGTTTTGTATTTCTCCAGTGCCTTTTAATCTCAAACTGGTTTGAAAGTCAGCCCTATTCCTTAGAAAAGAAGTGAACTTTCTTTTGAAATCTTGAAGAATCATTACTCATTGAAAGTGAAGAAAATGGTTTCATGAATCCTTCATATGCAAATCTCTTGCCAATTGAGTTCTCTAAGGCCATTTGCACATTCTTTGTCATGTGGTATAGTGGAAGAGGCAATTAATTATAATTTGTAAGGAATGATTTTTTGCTTCTGCTTTACCATTTATTATTTGTGTGACCCAAGATGGGCTTCCCCGACCCTTAGTTCCTCATATATTAAATGGGGGTAATATTGCCTGGCCTCTGTATTTTATGAGACTATTTTAAGCATTAAACAAGTAGTATATATAAAGCATTTGACTAACTACACAAATGCGAGCAGTTATGATTTATAAAACTTTTGCAAAAGTCAATCTACTTCTTTTTAAACAGAATTACAGGCCTAGTGCTGTGGCTCACACTCATAATCCCAATACTTTAGGAGGCTGAGGCAGAGGGATTGCTTGAGGCCATGAGTTTGAGACTAGCCTAAGCAACATAGTGAGTCTTCATCTCCACAAAAAAACTTAAAAATTAGCTGAGCATTGTGGCATGTGCCTGCAGTTCCAGCTACTTGGGAGACTGAGGTGGGAAGATTGCTGGAGCCTAGGAGGTTGAGATTACAATGAACTGTGATCACACAACTACACTCTAGCCTGGGCAACATAGTGAGAACCTGTCTCTAAAAAAAATAAAAAATAAAGAGAATTACAATAAATACATTTAATTCAGTTTTTTTTCTTCATTATTATACTTTAAGTTCTGGGATACATGCATAGAACGTGCAGATCTGTTACATAGGTATACACGTGCCATGGTGGTTTGCTGCACCCATCAACCTGTCATCTACTTTAGGTATCTCTCCTAATGCTATCCCTTACCTAGCACCCCACCCCTGACAGGCCCCCGTGTGTGATATTTCCCTCCCTGTGTCCATATGTTCTCATTGTTCAACTCCCACTTATGAGTAAGAACATGCAATATTTGGTTTTCTATTCCTGTGTTAGTTTGCTGAGAATGATAGTTTCCAGCTTCATCCATGTCCCTGCAAAGGACATGAACTCATCCTTTTTTATGGCTATATAGTACTCCATGGTGTATATGTGCCACATTTTCTTTATGCAGTCTATCATTAATGGGCATTTGGGTTGGTTCCAAGTCTTTGCTATTGTGAATAGTGCCACAATAAACGTACGTGTGCATGTATCTTTATAGTAGAATGATTTATAATCCTTTGGGTATATACCCAGCAATGGGATCACTGGGTCAAATGGTATTTCTACTTCTAGATCCTTGAGGAATCGCCACACTGTCTTCTACAATGGTTGAAATAACTTACACTCCCAACAAAAGTGGGAGTGTAAGTGTTCCTATTTCTCTACATCCTCTCCAGCATCTATTGTTTCCTGACTTTTTAATGATCGACATCCTACCTGGCATGAGGTGGTATCTCATTGTGGTTTTGATTTGCATTTCTCTAATGACCAGTGATGATGAGCTTTTTTTCATATGTTTGTCGGCTGCATAAATGTCTTCTTTTGAGAAGTGTCTGTTCATATCCTTTACCCACTTTTTGATGGGGTTGTTTGTGTTTTTCTTGTACATTTGTTTAAGTTCCTTGTAGATTCTGGATATTAGCCCTTTGTCAGATGGATAGATTGCAAAAATGTTTTCCCATTCTGTAGATTGCCTGTTCACTCTGATGATAGTTTCTTTTGCTGTGCAGAAGCTCTTTAGTTTAATTATATCCCATTTGTCAATTTCAGCTTTTGTTGCCATTGCTTTTGGTGTTTGGTGTTTGCTTGGTAAATATTCCTCCATCCCTTTATTTTGAGCCTATGTGTGTCTTTGCACGTGAGATGGGTCTTGTCTCTTTATCCATTTTGCCAGTCTGTGTCTTTTAATTGGGGCATTTAGCCTGTTTACATTTAAGGTAAATATTGTTATGTATGAATTTGATCCTGTCAGTATGATGCTAGCTGGTTATTTTGCCCATTAGCAAATGCAGTTTCTTCATAGTGTCGATGTTCTTTACAATATGGTATGTTTTGCAATGGCTTGTACCAGTTTTTCCTTTCCATATTTAGTGCTTCCTTCAGGAGTTCGTGTAAGGCGGGCCTGATGGTAACAAAATCTGTCAGCATTTGCTCGTCTGTAAAGGATTTCATTTCTCCTTTGCGTATGAAGTTTAGTTTGGCTGGATATGAAATTCTGGGTTGAAAATTCTTTTCTTTAAGAATGTTGAATATTGGCCCCCACTCTCTTCTGGCTTGTAGGGTTTCTGCAGAGAGATCCGCTGTTAGTCTGATGGGTTTCCCTTTGTGGGTAACCCGACCTTTCTGACTGCCCTTAACATTTTTTCCTACATTTCAACATTGGTGAATCTGACAATTATGTGTCTTGGGATTACTCTTTTCGAGGAATATCTTTGCGGTATTCTCTGTATTTCCTGAATTTAATGTTGGCCTGTCTTGCTAGGTTGGGGAAGTTCTCCTGGATAATATCCTGAAAAGTGTTTTCCAACTTGGTTCCATTCACCCCGTCATTTTCAGGTACACCAATCAAATGTAGGTTTGGTCTTTTCACATAGTCCCATATTTCTTGGAGCCTCTTTTTCCTTTTCATTGTTTTTTCTCTAACCTTGTCTTCCTGCTT